AAATCCAGGTTATGTGTAAGTGGAATACAAGATTAGCTTTGGTAGGTTTAGGTCGCAGATAAATTAGTCTGAGTCTCATTTTTTAATTAGACATATAGTAATAAATAATGTATAATGAAAAAAGTTGTAAAAACTGTAACAATATGTTGGAATAAACAGACTTGAGGCATGACCTCACCTTAACTCCAAAAAAAAAAAAAAAAAAAAAAAAAAAAAGGCAAATAGAGATGAATCTATGTTTCTATTAGTAAAGGATTATTTAGCAATTGTTTAGAGTATGTTAATAATGAATTAAATTTTTGGTTAGTGAAAAAAAAGAAAAAAAAATTTTATAGATATTTGTACTAAATTTAACTATTCTCATTACTATCCTCACTTGAGTTTTCAATATTAGGGCATGTCCTGCTATTGTGTCCAGTTTTATGATATATACTACATTTTCTGTTATGACTATTTTCTTCTAAGCTTTTAATATTAGGGCATGTTCTACTATTGTGCCCAGTCTCATGACATATACCACATTTTCTTCCTGATATAATCAACTCAAAAGTGGATGGATCTCTTTCAGTAGACGATTGAGGTCAATTTTTTGCTCCCACTAGACGTCCTCTTGTGGGTTGTACCTCTAGATCTTGTATGATTACAGCTGACTCTTGGAACAAGCTCAACAGTCTATTCAGAATTGCATTTTTTGGTGAAGCAGCAAAGAGTTAAATTGCTAACTATATTCTTCTAACTTTTGATGCAATGAATCTTCAAATGGTTTTTGTTAAGACAATTGATGTTAAATCAACCAATATTAATAAAAATCATCAAGCTGTAAACATTTATTATTATTAAGAAGTTCTCGAATTTTGTAAGAACAAGGTAGGCCTATTGATGATTTAAAAGTACCACTACAAGGTCATAGTGGATTTTCTGATGTTGCATTAGATGCTTTTAAAAATTGTTCATAAACTATTTTTAATGCAAATGTAGATATCTTGAAAATAACATGCACATAGAATGACTTATTTTGAGTATGAGATATTTAAATCATTTCTTGAAAGGACTTTGTTTTAATTTCTCAGTACTGATTCTCTAATGCTAAAGAAATTTTTTCATGAACAATATGAAGATCACTTATTGACACTTGAAGATATGTTTTTAGCATTGCATGTGCACTTTCTACATATGATGTTGTCACATTACCTAAAAATCAAAAAAAAAATAAAGATAAAAGAACTAGAAAAATATCAAAAAAAGAAAAATAAATGTTGAAGATAGAGGTTGAGGCTATTATAAATTCAAAAATCGAATTGAATTTGTATGTAATTGAAAATTGGTTAATATTTAAGCCAAACCAGGTTGAATTCAAACCGAATTTAATTGAGGTAAGTCCAATATATATTATTAGTTAATAAGTAATATTTTCTGATTAGTTAAAATGAAAAATTTAAAGTTACTTTTAATACTCTTTTTATATGTAGAAACAAATCTGAATTTTAATTTTAAAACTGGTTTACCTAACCTTAGTTTCTAACCAAATTATAACATTACAGAACTGATTTAATATAAAACTGGACCAACCTGAATTTATAGTCGAATTTTATTAATTGGTTCCAACCTTGGATTAAATATAGTATAGGTGGCACCTACTTTAAATCAATTGATTTTTTTATTAAGTGTCATTTATTCTATATTTTATCCTTCAATGAAGAATGCTGAAAAAGCTTCAAAAAATTCAAAAAAAAATACCTAGGTGCAAATACAGTCTGTCCAACAGCTAATAAAATTTGTTTTAAATGGCAACCATGTTTCCTCCAAATATTTAATAACTGTTTGTTTTTCATTATATTTTTCTACTAATTTTTCCTAGTTATTTTCAAAATCAGTTTCTCTTTTAGATTTTATAAAGGTGGACCAATTTTCCATAAATGTTGACCATTCATCATCTGTTCGAAAATGATGTCAGCAATTAACTAGCACATTCTTTCCAATGTGCAAAACACACACAAAAGATTTTGAGACTCAGGAAATACTTTCTGTACAGCATACATCAAAGCTAGTTTGTGGTCAGTTACAATAACTTGAGGCTTTGGTATGTCATCCAAAATGCGAGCAACACAAGTGAGAGCCCATTCATAATCTTCTTTTTGCTCTGATTTTAAAAATGCAAAGCAGAAAGAGAACATGGTATTAAAACTTGTCATTCCAATAATGTGAAGCAATAGCATTTTAAATTTATTGGTTTTGTATGTACAATCCATTAAAAAAATGAAATTATATACTTTGGTAAGTGCAAGTAATTTTGGATGAGCAAAAAAAAGATGAGTTAAATTTTCTTCTTGATCATATTGATAATAATGTTCAAAATTTCCTTCTAAAAGCTCATCAAGAAGAGCCTGGATGGGTGTGCAACCTTGAAGATTATTAAGTCGAATTTTATCTCAGGCATTATAGATTGTTTTTAAAACTGCTGTATTATTTAGATTGGCTTGATGGAGAGTAGTGAGGATTGTTTGAGGATATACACCTGCAGTAGACATTTCCTGAACTTTTTGTTAATCTTCTTCATTCAATCAACAGCTAGATGGATGACCTGAAATGTCATCTGATGCCTTATGATTATGATTTTCATTTTTAATTGTTAAATGCCATTAACCATCTTCTATCTTCTTTCCATAGAGTTTAAAAGGCAGTCTATCAACCACGTACCAGTAGCTTATTGATGTGTTTCATCATTAAGGTTTAATTTATTATTGTATTTGCTACCTCTATCACATTGCAAGTAAACGAAGTTTTCTCTCTCTGATCTTTTAATGCTTACTGCATACCTATGACTAAAGGCATGCATTTGAACATAATTGATGAGATTATCATAGCTTGTAAAATAGCCTTCTAAAGGTAGAGATAAAGATATGTTTTATATTTTTAGAAGCAAAAGGTAATTGTATAAGTGAATTTGTTAAAGGTGTTTTTGAATTATCTTTTGTTATTTTTAACCTGATGAGTTAAATTTTACAATCAATTCTCAGATGCTCTTTTTATATTTTAGAAATCTACTCTACATCTTAAGCATAATATAGGAATTTACTCATTTTTGGTTTTATTTTTGGTTATGGTCTTTTACCACCTTAGAATGATTGATGAAAAGATTATAACTATCGACCAAAATGATAACTATCTGGTGCCAATATTATTATCAGTTCAGCCAAATAATTTTTGTTAGTATGATTATAATTTACTTTTTAGTATATTCAAATTACATAATTAATAGTATCAAGCAATTAGTATAGGAACGCATAATCCTTGACATCTTAGCTGATATTATTAATTCGGTATGATTATTTTTTTCAGTTAGCACATTTATAATTAATACTGTCAAGCAATTAGTATACTAGTATAGGATGCTATCAAAATTTCTGGATAATATGTCAGCTGAACTAATAAATACCAAAATAGCTAGATTATCAATTTAGTATAATTATTTTTATTTTTTTAGTTAGTATGTTTATAATTAATGCTGTCAAGCAATTAGTATAAGAATGCCAACTAAGAACTTCTGTATAAGTATGTATCACATAATCCTGGACATCTTAGTTAATATTATAAATTCGGTATAATTACTTTACTTTTTTGGTTAATATGCTTATAATTAACACTGTCAAGAAATTAGTATACTAGTATAGAAATGCCAATTCAAAATTTCTGCATAACACATCAGCAAACCGATAAATACAAAATAATTAGATGATCAATTCAGTATAATGATTTTATTTTTTTAGTTAGGATGTTTATATTAACTTTGTCATGCAATTAGCATAAGGGATGCATAATCATGGGTGCTTTATTAATTTCTCTTTCATATATTGGCTGAATCATAAATAACTGACATTAGTTAATATTGTCAATTTAGAATAATTTACTTTTTTTTGAATAATACATTCAAATTATATAGTTACTATAAATTACCATATAAGGTATGTCCCTTGATCGATACCATCTTGACTTTTACCCACCTAGATTTGTATCGAGTATGTATATTTCAAAGTTACTTTTTGCACTATTTTGTAAGATACCAAGATTTAAGTTAATGGCTGGTTTAATAATAAAAAATTTTTTTCTAATAGGCAAATGCCAGGGGTATAAATCATGCAAAATTGAAAATACTCAGATATCTTATATGATGATTTATGGTAAAGTTGTTAAACAATATGTACCATAGAAACATATTTGAAGGTTATAATATTAGAAATTTAAAAGTTGTTACTGATGTATGCATTATATCATAAATGCTTTGTTTCTTTTTTATGCATAATTTTATATGTACTATAACTGAGAAAAACAGGTGCAAATAATAACTTATTTAATAAAGTATAAAAACATTTTGAATTAGCATAAATTCACTTAAATGTAATTTTATTTTTTGAGTTTTTAAAAAGTACATATAAATTAATAAATACATAAGAAAAGCTTTATTGTACATATAATATTTACTACAAACTCAAAACCTTTATATGATATTATAATCCAAAACTCCAAAAAACCAAATACATTATAGCTATAAACATATAACTGGATTTTCTATTAATAAGCTATACCTACTCAAAGTTTTAACAATAAGTTCCTGATTATCTTTTTTTTGGTTAGTTAATGTCATGCCTGAAGCTGAGATCAGCCGATATTGAGAAAAAAATTTTAAAAATTTTTGAGGTGCAATTTCTTTAGCTTTTTTTAGGGTTGTTAATAAGAGTATATGTGAATTTTAGTAGGTCTAATAGACTCATTAAGGCTCCAATCTCAGCACTAGTCATGATGGTTAACAATCTAAACTATCGATTCGAAGCAATGAAAGTTAGGATTAGTCAGTATCAAAGCAATATAGACAATCTCGAAATGCTATTATACTACCTACTAAAACTAAACTTCTCTTTCGAACCAAAGACTTCTTGACAATAATATGATAGGTTAATAACAGGCATACCAATTTATGATTGTTCAATAAATTGTAAATATATTAGTCTCAAAACATTGCATTTTTAAAAAAATATTTTAAATACTTATCTGGGCAATTGATCAATCAAAATATACAATAAACATCTATAAGTGCATGCCCTGGGGCCAACTTTAACAGCATGTATCTAGAGAACTATAAGTGCATTTATGGAGGTCATATATAGTTGAACCTGAATTTAAGTATGCATTTAGAGATATATATTTATGGAAGGTGTACTTAGAATTTATTGAATATTACATGGTTCTAGTTTCTAATTCTTTTGGTGTTTTAATTGTATTGCATTACACAAAATTTGTCCAATCATATACATACATGTGAAATTTCTAGAAGCATCGATCATGTGATATTACAAAATAAATAATAACTAAAAATATTCAGATTAGATCTGCATCACGTGACTCACCATGGTGGAAATAGCAATTTACCATAGTGGAAATAGTAATTTCCTAATTTTATTATGTTTATTATTTTTATAATTTAGAACTAATTAAAGATGATTTTAATATCTATTTTTCCAATAGTACAAATTTTCTAAATTACAATATAGTAAAGGTTATTCAAGTTATAAAGTTTCTAAAAGCTTTAAGAATAATAATAAAAAATAGATATTTTTTATCTAAATTTTAATTAAAAATTTAATATTATATATATATATATATATATATATATTTTTCTCTTAGGTGTCATGCTAGTACTTTATTAAGATTCATGGAATTACTATTGCAATTACATAGATATATTTAACAACTAAGTCTAGCATCATCTGGTCATCCTAATGGCACCTAAGTGCAACCTGCTGCATTACTTCAAACAGAAGTAAATTGCTTGTTTGACTACTTAAAGTCCATAATGAAAAGGTCTTCCCCCTTTTATGACAAGCCTTAAAATTGTTTTCCTAGCTTCATTTTCGATTCATTTTTTCTTCTCTTTTAATTATCAAGCAAGAGGATTCTATAATTTTTGTCTAAAGAACAACAGGATATAAGAAAAAAAACTAAAAAGGGAGTAAAAAAGAGAGGAACTAACTACAAAACCTAAATGTAAACCAAAGGAAAAAAGAAAAAGATAAAAAAAAGAAGGACAAAGAAAAAGAACAAAAAGAAACATGAAGGCACTATTTTTGCCTATACATCTTTAAAAAATTCTATATAATACTAAATAAAGAATACTCCATATTTGCTTTATCTCTGTATTATAATATATTCTATTTGTCATGTAGAGAAAATAGTTGAAGTTTTTATTTTTCTCTTGAGTTTAACACATATCATCCATCATAGATCTGATACTAGTATTATAATTTTCTTATAACTAACATTACTGATTTGGAAAGGTAAACAGTATCAATTCTTTGAAGAGGGTATGTCAAATTTCCCACTTTTTGGTAAAAATTTTGAGAGAAAAATCCAGTAGTGAGGATGGAAAAGAAAACTAACTTGAGAAGAAGTTGTAAGAGTTATGCTATATAGAATATTATATTAAACCAAGTAACTATTTAGGTCTAAACCTTTATAGCACTTGACAAAGCTCCAGAGCTTATTTACTACTTCTTTACTTGGTAGTACTTATGTTTTATATCAGAAACTTCACTTACAAAGGTTTAAGTCTTTTTCAGCTCTTTTCAGTTACAATCAGCATGCAGTGAATAGTCTTCTAATTGCCTCAAAGTAGTGTTTTGTTATATTTAAATATAATAACTATACAATTTTCATAGATCAAGATTTTGGAAAAAGTTGCTGTGAAAGATTATCAGAAAGAGTGCTCTTGAAATTAGATATTTAAATATTATATATTTTATATATTTGCTATTAATATAAAGTATATAATATATATTTTTTTTTTGTATTAAGGTGAGGCCTTGCTCATATCTTTATTAGTAATTTTAGTTGTACATATTAATATACTATATATTAAAGATA